AGCATCCACCTCCTCCACCTGAAGGAAGGAAAGGGGCGGTTTCCNCGTTCATGATTCAATCAGCGAAGTTAAAGCGAGCGCGAAATGACGCGGCGTAAACTCGGGGTAAGCCCCCTTTTCATCCCCTCGAACGCATCATTCGGAACGCACCACCCTTTCTTCGAATTCCATTCATACGGGGAGCGTTATGCTCCCGTTTCAATGCTCCTCGACGAGGCAGAGAATGTTCTACTACTAAAGCGTTCCGTATCGCGTCTCTACCATAGGCGAGGCACGTTCGACGTTCAAAGGAATTTTATTCCGGGGGAATAATACTGTGTATATAATGGAAACAAACAAATCTGTGCGTCTAAGGTAAAGCATATTAAAATTTCTCGAATATTTCTTTTCTTTTTGAAAGATTTTGCATTACGATCGTTTACATCGTTGCTCGAGAAATCGGACATTTTTCTTTTTCCCTTTTTCTTTTCTTTTTTACGCAGTGAAAGTTTATAAGAAAAAGAAAACGATTGTAATTTTTAATTGGCGGGAAGTGGAAACCGAAGTGGGATCCTCCTCTCATCCCCGCGAAGATCGCCTTAACAGGCGATGGCCGGTGTTTCGACGCCGGAATATAACTTGAAAAAATATTTCCTGTGACAACACGGCGTGCCCGGCGAGAAGCAATCCCGCTTTTCCCTGTATCTCGAACGAGGTAATGGGTTTTTGAACTCGGCGAGCAACGATGGAGGAGGAGGAGAGGGACATCGGGGCTAACGATATTTCTCAGTTACTCAGGCCTGTATTTTTATAAAAAATATCTCACCGGTGAGGATCGCTTAAAGACGCAATTTAATCGGGAACTTTACATTCCATTACGCCAGCGAAAAAGTACACCGGTACTGTACATCGGAACTACGTTTTTTCCTCCTCTTCTTCTTCCTCTTCCTCCTCTCGAATCGCTTTTTAAAATGCTTCCTGTCCGTCCACAGAGAGAGAGAGAGAGAGAGAGAGAGAGAGAGAGAGAGAGAGAGAGACGAGAAGTTTGCAAGGAAACTTCCCCTTTGAAGCGAATACCTCCCGCGTCCAACTTCTCCACGCACTCTCGGCTTCCTCTCTTTCTCTCTCTCTCTCTCTCTCGGTAAATATCGTCGTAGCATAGGACCGAAGTCGAGCTATCGGGCGAAAAACGCGAGTTTTCCCCACTGGCTCTCAAATTTTTCGACCGCTGAAAAACAACGACGATCGCCGCTCCTCTATCCCCGTGGAACACAAGCAAGGGAATTTTATTTTTACATTGCGAAAACGAAGTTTCGATTCTCGATCGTCCATCGTCGTTTCGCACGGCGACGAGTCGCTTTTTCGATTGTGAAAGCTTGCGGAACATGGAATAAGGGAAAGGAGGGAAAAAGAGGAAAGAAAGAAAAAAAAAAAGGAACGAGAATCGCGGGAAAACCGCAACGACCGAGAAAATCCGCCCCTTCGTTCTTCTCTTCCATCGCCCTTTCCACGACAAACTGTTGTTGGTCACTCCCAAGTAATCCGCGCGCTGCGTATACACGCTCCCCCGTGGAATAATGTTTCGCGGACGCATTTTGCGGCGTAAACTTTGTCAAGTAAATATTTGACGCAATCTGGCGCAAGCACGAAACAATCCGTTGAAACGGGATCCGTCCTTCCGACCACGGAACTTCGTTCTGTGATGCATTAGGTACTCTCCCAGGGCCGGCCGCTTCAACGTTTCGCGCGGGGAGTGGAATGGGAATCGAAGAGAGTAGCATTCGCTCGAAATATCGCTATACGTATATTATATCATCCATACCATCGCAATATTTTTCGAGTGGCGACGAAACTCGAGAAATCGATCGATCGATCGATCGATAGATCGAGCATTGGCCCCCGTATTCTCTTAAAGATTAATCGTTCGTGATGGCAGTAAGGGGAGAGAAGAAGGAGGGCAATAATATCGAAACAAGTTTTATCCCGAAAGAAGAGAATCTCGACGAATCCTTCGCCTTTATCCTCCATCCGTGTTTTCGCGCCGCTTCTGAGCGATCCATGCGAAAATCCGTGAAAAGAGACTGTAACCGGTGGAAGGAAAAACGGAGACGCGAACGAAACGAGAGGCGAATATCCGATCCTCGTTTAATCCGCCGATGTTGGACGCGATCCATCTTTGTTGTCGTCGTCGTTGTCGTCGTTTTCTTTTTCTTCTCCAACCGTCTTCTGTCCCGTTCTCGTAGTTCCAAAGCGCTCCGCAGTACACCGTCGATTCCGTGTTATCTGTGAACGCAGCTACAACCAACCGATGCAGCCGCCTCCTTGTCGCGGTAAAGCCTCGTTGTTCCCTTTTGCCGTTGTTGCGGGAACCGAAGCCAGTTGACGCAGTCGGTGACTCGGCCACCTGGGAAATACCGAGTAATGCCCGCAAAGCTGCTCCCCTCTCCCTTCTTCCGCCTCCATTCGCGTCTTCTTCCCTCTCCCCTCCACCGTCTTCGTCCTCCATCTCGCTCTTTCGCCGGTTTCTCCTCCAAGGTTGCTCTCGTCCTTTTTTCGCAAACCCTGCCTTCCCTTTTCGTTCCCTAGCCATCCAGTCAGGCGGTCTCTTTCTCGTTCCGTTGTAAAGAGTTGGCCGGGGAAGGAGGGGCGAGCGGAAAGAGGAGCATCCACGAAAATTGGCCAGACTTCCGACTCTGTCGGCCACTGTAATCGGAATTACGAACACGCGCCGCCTCCAGACGTTGATGATTTAATTTATCGACCGAGCTAGGAGTCGAGCGTTGAGAAAGGCTCCGTTGATTGCCTTATTATCGAAACAATACCGAGATCGAAATTCACCTCGAGCAAAGGAGAGCTTTCGTTCGTTCGTTCGTTCGTCCAACGAATGAAATTCAGTTTTTTTTTTTCGAAACTAGTTTTTGGGTAAAGAAAGAAGAGAGAGATAAAGAAAAAGAAAAAAAAAAGAAAAGAATATTTGCAGACACGATGCACGATTGTTTTTCTTATTCCGTTCCGTAGTTTCGTTCTCGTATTCTCGTATCACGCTTTACAAACACCATCCATCATCGTATCCATCTCGCGAGACATCTCCTCGCATTATTCATTATCCAAAGATTTCAATCCCTCTTCTTAGAGAGAGTCGCTCGCCTTTTACTATCCGCGTCCTCCGATCTCATAACGCGGGCAAACGCGTACTTTACCACTCTGTATTGTACGTAAAGAGCGAGCAAAAACAAGAGTAGAAGAACGGCGTACACATCGACGAGGTAACGTTCGTGCCAGGGCATGGTTATCGCCTCGCTCTTCACGTATGGCAAACCGTTCCCACGTGCCACGTATTCCGTCCACCATATCGCTGTCTCCAGAGGGCTGGCTGGCCGATCTTTAAAAGCTTTCGAAAGCCTCTTGGCGTTCTCCCTATACCTGAAACACAAACGAATTACATTCAAACAATCGTAAATAAATAAATAAACGAACAGATAAATAACAACTCGACAAGCTTACAAGTGACGAATAGATGCACTCGCGATAATACCAACCGAGTAAGACCCCGGATCGTGTCCCTCCCGTATCGGACACTCGCTCTTCCATTCACCATTTACCGACAAGTCATCCCGTTCGATGGCTTTTCTTTTTTTTTTTTCTATCCTCGACTCGAGCAACCCCTGGATACAATATACCCCCATATACCTTCCCTCCTCCCCTTATACATATATTCCATGAATAATTCATGCAATACACCCTGATCGATCCCGTCACTCGATATCGCGGGAAGAACGGGAAAAAGATGCCGCGGGATACTTTATAAATATCTCCCAGAAAGAGAAAGAGAGAGAAAGATAGAGATGCTTTTTAACGGTGCGTTTATCGTTCGGAGAAGGAGAAGGCTCGAACGGATCGAAAAAACCGAGGCTAAAAGAATCCTTGTCGGTGCTCGTTCGTTCGAAATCCATCGGCAAGCGCTCTGCGTTTCCACACTACACACACTGTGTGGTGGGGAGGAGTTCGTGTCGTAGTTCCGGAAAC